ATATAAATAAATATTAATAATAATAAATTATGAGGATATTCAATGATTAATATTTATTTAAGATATTCTCGATTATTGCTTTTTTAAATGAGGTCCTGGAGAGAGCCTTAGTATTTTCATCAAGAGAATTCCAGATTTTTACTCCTTGAAATCGAATATTAAAGATTGCATAATTTGTTCTTGTTTTCGGTAAGGAATAGCTTGACTTTGAAGATAATCTAGTATTATATTTATGAATGTCTTTAATCTTAGTGAAGAAATTATTGAAAACAGGTGGCAAGATAGAATGATGATACTTATACATAAAGACTGATATATAGAGGAATGTGATATCATTTAGTTTGATGATTTCTAATCTTTTAAACAGGGGACTGGACTTTTCATCAAAACTTTTGTCTCTCCGGATCTATGCGAAGTTTATCGATTGGTTCCGAAGTTATGTATTCAGCACTTTTGGGCTTCCTGTGGTGTTACGGACGGAAAATAAATTCATAGCCGACTTCTCATAGCCTTGATTTCATAACTTAGCTCTGTCTTGCCTGCCATATCACGATTGATTATTATGTTACTATAGCTAATCCAGAAATATTTCCTAATAATATTATTTAGGTTATTTATTTACCAATTGTTTAAATCGTGGTTAAAGCTGTGTAAATAAAAAATACCATAAAAAAGAATCGATTCGAATTAATCGATTCAAATCAGTTTAATCGAAGGAAAATAAGTTGATTGTCAGAAACTCTACTGAAACTATAAATGAGTATATGTTCTCTACGTTAGCAACTAATTTCATACAACACCTTGGACAAGTATTCACAGGTCTCTATCACTGCAAGCTCACCGTTCGTCTCGCTTCGATGCAAAGGCACGACTACCTTTCAATGTGATGGTGATGGTGTAAAACCTCTATTATTTCAAAAAGATCTTAATTCTCAAACCAGCCGAAAGTTAGAATTCTTTATTGGAGTTTTAACGGATAGCTYGTGCTGCCCGTGGTCTGATTCTTAGTCAGTACGCGCGCACTTTCGACCCAGTGTCCTGTCATTCTTACTGCGCATGCTCATTAATTAATTATTACGGTTATTTACAATAGCAAAATTTCATAAGATGTACATGAGTGTCTTGAATACACCATGGTTGATCTCCATACGTATCTACACGACTTATTGCTCCTTTGATGCTGGGGACTCCACCTTTAAGTTGAACACTTGCCTCATAAAAGCCATCATTCGGTGATGTGAGGAATTGAATTTGATAAAGAGTATCTTTGATTAAGTTGTTTTCATCCTTTTGACCAAGAACTACTCCACATGAATCGCATCTGTGGTCTTGGCTCGACTGTTGAAATGATTGTACTTTTTCATTGGGCAATTCCAAAAAGGCAGTTTTGATTTCCTTTAAAGAAAGTTTCTTGCAAAGTGTCTTTGATTTCTCTTCTCGTTCTATTAAGTTGTTTATAAAATTCACTACATAGTTCACAACTTGTTTTACTATTGAGCTATCCACAGGGACTCTTTCTAGGTTCATACACGGGCACCAGTGCTCTTCAACTCCAGCACTAGCGCATGTACGATTGTGTGGGTCAATTGGAATAAAAAGGCTTTTTCCAAATTTCATTTCTTTTGGTAGTTTAGGATAGGATAAAATATGCTGAAGGCTGGCATATATGTCAAAGGGTGTGGTCAATAGCTTGGCATTTCGCTGCACGTTCTTGTACAGTTGTGGATACTTTTTAGGAAACCACGTGGGAAAAGTGATTGACATGTRTGGCAGTCGTTCCTCTAGTTTTCCTTGAAGAGTTTTTCTCATGCTTCCATAACGAACACCATGATCTCCAAATATAAAAACAATACTTTCATCTAAATATGATTCTTTATCCATCGTTTTCAGCAGATCAGTAAGATCTTGATCTGCGTATTTCAAAGCATTCATGTTTCCATGGCTCAGGTCAGAAAACAGCAGAAAGGCAAATTTAGGGTTGTTAGGATAACTGCGGAACAGGCTCAAAAAATACTTCATTGTTACTTTATGGAGGGGCTGGTTGGTRGAGCAGTAATCCTTRCKGGCATGYTTAYCRGCYTCMARCCAGAAAGGCCTTCCATAGTGATCAGTCGGTGGATTTKKAAAACCCTTCAATCGAAGATTAAATGTTCCCAGACCCGGTGAGTCTTCCGAGTACATTGTAACATACCCACGTTTTTTATAATCTCTAAAGACCCATCGCCAGTCATCCACGACCTTTGCGTTTGGCTTCGAGCGGCGTGCCTCGGGCTGTTCTTCCTCGGGGATTCCAGTGAGCATTGCACATAACTGGGCAGTTGTTCCATCACCAACGATGGTCTCTCCTAGAAAGAAAGACACCGCAACATTAACAGCARACTTATTTAGGGTCTGTTTGCTAGGGAGGGGAGGATGGTATYAATCAATGCGTTCCTCATTTTTCTTAGAAAAAAACATTGTTGATACACCACTAGGATGAATATCGATTCAACTTTCAATGGTTTGTTGAGCCGGAGAAAAAACAAGACAAGATTTTATGCAGTATCTGTGCATAATGATCTTCAGGCTACAGAGTTTAATGCCATTATAAAAAAAACTTTACAAAATCTCCAGGTTGCCCCAATCTCTTGTTTTTCTCACCGGTAAAAGTTAGAATCTTTAAGGTACGATTTGAAGATCCTAATTTATGAGGTAACCGTACCCCTTCGGGGCTAGTTGAGCCTAGTAATAGGGTTACACTATCTTCTACAGGATTGAATAAAAATTGTTATCGATCAAATAGTGCAGTTATTACCTTCCAGGAAGACGGTTGGCCTTGTCTTCAAGTAACTTCTCGTGATGGGCATTTGTCTGACGAAATTCGCTGCTGACGTCGAGTCAAACATTATCATAGCAACATTTACTGGGATCCCTGCAGGTTGGACTTTTCGTTGTAGAACCTCTTGTTTTGGTGCAGTTTGCATATGGACTTCTGTTATCGAATCTTTGCCTTCGGGTCTTGTGATATCAACACGAACAAAATCTGCATTCACAGTTGCATTTCCTTCAAAGGATCCTTCTGTGAAGTCAACATTTAACATTGTTCAATACACAGTGAATATATTCCATATGCGTTCATGTTTGTAATCTCAAAACTAACGTTAACCATTCATAAACCTTGCAATATTTCTGATGAACCAATCAGAACGCAGTGGTCACGTGCCATAGACGCGTGACATCTATCTACCACAAAGATTTTTCAGCAGTTTATCTAATTAGAATTAATTTACCTTTCAATGAACGAAATGCGTATTTCTCTGTGCAGTTTTTCCCAACTTCAAGGAGACCATCGTTTTGAGGAATATCGGGGTGACTTTTTGACTGTAGGCAGAGTTGGCTGTTTTCAACTTGCAGTGTGCCGTCCAAGACGTTGAACTTTGTTGAGCAGTTTTGCTGCAGGGAAAGGTGGTTGGTTTCATCTGTCGATAAATTAAGGGTGATTTAAGCTAAATTTTATGTATGTTTTGGGGAGGTAGGGGTTGGCGGTTGATGTATTTTTTCAAGTTCAGCACCAGACAACAACAACGACAACAAAACAAAAACTGCCAATAAATCAGATTGAAAATTTGCCCCAGTCTGAATGACATCGGCCTTCTCAGGCAACTCTCAAAATTCCCTTTCAGGGTCCTGTGTAAATTTATGTAGGAGGAGGACTGTTTCTCCGATTTCTCTTCCCTGGTCTCTCCCATCAACTTTTATTCTTAGGGACCCCAAGTTCGAGTCCTGGTTAGGTGTGCTTGCAAGGTATGCAAGAAATACTAGATTAATATTACTTACGGTTAACGTGCAAACAAAGACCATTAGAGTTGTATTTTATGGCCTTGTCCGGAGTCATAGTGAACTGTACTCGACCGAGGCAGCAGTCGGAGTGGAAAACTACTTTTTCACCATCATTTGGATTTGCTTGGCCTCCAAAAGGATGAAGACATTTCTCGCTGCTCTTGTGCATTATGCATCCACCAATACCTGTAAAATAAGTCAGTTACAACTTTTGCGCACTAATTTTATCCTTTTTCCGTCGTTCTAATCGTCAAGAAATCCAAGCAATCGCAGAGTTTTGAAATATATATGTAGCTACTGTACTGAAGGTAAATTTGCTTAACGTATTAACTTCAATTGGCACGGATAGTACAGCGGCTATTCTTCATAGCTATTCAAAACTGCAGTATACCAAAGACCTTTGGTAGGAAAAGATGTTTATAGTCGGAAAATACATCTAATAGCCCATGAATTTTGGGTTTTTATTTGCATACCTGGTTCAACTTCATAAACGTTCTTTCTTGCGTCTTGTTTTGAGTTCATAACGACGAGTGGTTCCGAAACGATTGAACTGAAGTCATCGCCTTTCGGGCGGCTGATAATTCTGTAAGCTACAGCAACTACACGGTCTGCTTTAACTCGAAGAGTGTTATTCTCGAAAGAAGAATGTAGTTTACCACAGTCAAGAGGAGGTGAAGGAACTATTAGACTTTTGACGCTTTTGTGGAATGGGTCAAGGACTGGTAACTTGCAAATGGGTTCGTTTACTGAATGCTTCTTGGCCGACAATTGCTGTAGGTAAGCTTGTATTTTTTCACCTCGTACGAGATGATAATCTAAGAGAAAATTGGCTCCAAAGTCTTTTGATGGCGCTTTTTCTTTGTGTTGAAAGAAAAGTCCAGTTAGGGTCATCATCAGTCCCGTACACAGTATTGCCGTGAAAAACCGGCGAAATCGACGACGAATCAAGAAAGGAATGCTAAACAAACTACAAAGGACAACCAATACTAGATAAAACATCCTTGGTCCGAGAAACTGGGAGTTTACCAACAGCTAACCAGTCAGATGTCGTCACTTTTCCTCAACAACGCGTACTCTTAAGACAAAAATAAAAAAATTTTAATTTAATTCAAATTAACCATGATGAATAATCGTGTGTAAAGAGAAATATGAGTGTTCAAAGCGGAGAAGAGAAATAACGTAAACTTTTAGTGCGGTGTCGTCGAAAAACTTAGGCTAAAACGCGTAACAGCCATACATTTTTCTAGTGCGATGCTGGGAATGCTCAACTTTTTTCATGCCAAATTCATTTCCACAGTCTCTTGCTTCGGAGCTTACCAAAACTAAATTTTGATATGTGATAGAAGCGGCCATCTTGAAACCAAACTCAAAATATGGTATCAAAACTCCTAATTTGCATATCTGAATATTGCGGGGCATGGTTATAGTGTTACACCGGTATTTCAACCACAAATCTACGAAAATAATCATACTGAGATCGGCTTAGCTTTTCAAGACCTCTTGAAGTATACTTTCAATACACCGATGCCGAATTTCTTCATTTAAGTTTCATTTCAGTTAGTCCCCAATTAGTTGTATAAATGGGAAGCACCGAATGCGCCGCCTCTTACAATGCGGCCCGAGTTCGAGTCCTGCCGATCTCGATGTCGTATGTGAGTAGAGTTGTTTGTTGGTTATCTCCTGTGCTTCGAGGGTTTTTCTCCGGGTTCTCCGGTTTTCCTCCCTCCTCAAAAATCAACTTCTAAATTCTAATTCGATCTTTGGGCTTTCACTTAGTTTGGAGCCTAGCTCTGTTGTGATTGTCCCACGCTGTGATACAACATCTTACACCAGTCCTTTACATTTTAAATTCTTTAGATTATAGTAGTGGTTATTATATTTTATCATATTGTTTTATATATATATATATATATATATATATATATAGCAGGTCCACATCAGCCGTTGGCTGTCGATGCAATATTTGTTTTAAAATTTTGTAAACCTAACCTGCTTTAACAAATAAAGGATTGATCGATTGATTGATTGAACAGCGAAAGCTTTGTAGAAATACATCGACACTTAAAAAAAGTTATTTTAAAGAAACCAATGAGAACAAGGTGGGCAAGGAAACAAAAAAAAAAGATGATAATAAATAAAATAAACAATCAAAAGACAAAAGAATGGGTTACGTAGTTAAAAGCAAAGCATTCATTATATCCCGTTGGGACTAAGAGTGCCCAATAGGTGAATAAGCCGCATTTCTTTGGTTTTGCGACAATGATTGTTGCCGTTAATAATTGAATAAATGCGACAAAGGACTAGAGTCCGAACGTCGTAAGTTTTTTCATTTTTTCACGGTGTATAATTTACCCTTTTATCATTAGTGAAAGAGAACATAAATATTCCTCTAATTTTGAGATAACAGCAAATTTTATAACATCAGCAGTATCATTTGGATCAGGCATACCATTGCAATTACGTGCATGAGAATCAAACACATAAATACAATCTGTGGTATTTATTAAAGCCATGGTGTAGATTTCTAATATTATAAATGCAAAATTATTATTACTAAAGGCATTCATCTAAGCTGAACGTAAAGTGAAGTATGGAGCCTGCTTTTGAGGCTTGTCACACGTGATTCTTCCTTGGTGAGATTGGTTGTATTTTATCAACCACGATGGGGTTATCATTTGTTTTGATTTGTGCCTCACTGGGCTCTACCACAATAGGTAGATCAGCATTTGTCACCATAATAGGAGATTTTTTTATTTTTTATTTTATTTTTGCCTCAGTGGGCAATCGGTATGATATATTACGTGCGTCAATGGACGACTATTTTGATTCGTTTGCCTCAATGTGCGAGCACCTGCGAGCTCTGACAGGCAGAAAGTTAAGTGACAACCTCTCGGTATGTTTGTCTTTTAAGTGCACTCAAGTACATTATTATTATTATTATTATTATTATTATTATTATTATTATTATTATTATTATGTTTCCTTCCGTAAGGATCTGATCTATGGTGGCGGCGGTCCAGTATTGGCAAAGTCTGAGCACATAACAGCACAGAAAAACTCATGAAAGAACACTGTCTTCCCTGTGAAATGTCATTAAATCGTTCATGACCTTGATAAATGCTTCCAGCAATAAATAAGTTTGTGGTTAGTTTGACATAATTAGAGTACGAAAAAGACCGAAAACCATCTCGACAACCCACAAATCGAGATTCTCGACAGCGTCTCGACAGACCAATGATAATGACTAATGATACTTGAGATTTCACAATAGTGCTTATGACTCGGAAAACTGAAAAATTGTACAATATACTAACGTCCAGATCAATCCATGCATGGATTGGGAGGGTTTTTTGTTAATGGTTTTGGTATCCGTGACCTCGGCTGTCTGGTGAGCACCAAATTATTCCAAAGGCCACAAATTCGAATTTGAATTTGGAATCGCTTTCTCACTTCTTAATCAAGATAGGATAGTTTGGTTCGTGTTAATGCATGAATTTGGCAGGATCATATATATATATATATACACACACACTTGATTGCAGAAAGGTTGTAGCATACATTTATACAAATATGAAATGAGATGCAAGATATCAAATGAGATGCAGAAAGTAAAACATACTTAAATACGATTGCTTAACCACGACATTTTGTGGAAAATACTTTTTTAACTTGACTTTGTGCAATACTTATGTCTCTGATACAATAGAAGATAAATAAGACCAAATAAGTATCTTTTTAAAGTTTTGCACCTTATTTGATATCCTGCATCTCATTAGATAGATATATGTATAAATGTATACTACAATCTTCTTGCAATCCTTATTTGATTGGCAGATTGGTCGAAGGATGCTTTGTCGGATGAAAGGGATGACAGTCGTCTGTTGATGCCGGCAGGTATGTTGTTGGTAGTGATTGGTGGATGGTTGCTCTCACGGTGGACGTACTGCAGTGTAGTGTTAGGCTTTATGTAGGGCTGGTAGGTATTTTGGTTTAGGTTGAAAGTAGCATCTAGGAAGTTGATGATCTGCTTGTTGGCTTCGATGGTGATGCGTAGTCATCCTTTTCATTCGACAAAGCATCCTTCGACCAAGCTGCCCCTCCATATCAAAAAGCACTTGACGAAAGCGGATACCAGTACATCCTAAACTACGAACCAACCGCGACCACAAAACGCAAAAACAGACAACGAAACGGCATACTCTGGTACAACCCCCCATTTAGCGAAAATGTCAGCACCAATATCGGACAGAGATTCCTTGGCCTAGTTGATAAACACTTTCCTAGAGGCCATAATCTTAGGAAAGTCTTTAATCGTAACACCATCAAGATCAGTTACAGCTGCATGAACAATGCCAAACAAATCATTGACAATCACAACAAGCGCATTTTACATC